GAGCTTCACTCACGTGAAACAGAAGATATTAATAGAATGTGGCACATCTCGGATCTCCTGCCATGAGAGAAATGCCTGTGTGTGTGTGTGTGTTTAACACGTCCCTGGAGACCCGAATGTGGAAGGCTGCGGAGTCAGGGCCCACACCACCAGCTGCTTAACAAAATTCCACAAATTCAATTCAGCAAATGTTTAAACTAAAAGGCCAAGTCTTATGCTAAGCTTGGGTCATCTACAATGTCAATGTATGTTATTTTACCGATAAATCAAATTCAGGGCTCTAAAAGGAAAGAGAGTAAGAAACAACAAAAATACCTTACACTTTTAAAAATAACGATCTTTGGATAACCAATCATTTATGGAGGTTGATTTACCATCTTTTAGCAACAAAACGACTTTCGATGTAGAAACTTTACAGACTCATTCACACACATCTCATCCCCTGCAATTACTTCAGTGAGCACAGAAGACAGCCCGTTTTAGGAATCACTATGAAATTAAGGGAGAACTGCTCTCTACCTCTCCACAGCAGGAACATTATAAAAACTGTACGACGGCACAGTAATACCAATAAGGCAGTATTGATCACTAAAGTACAAATAATTCCATCTTAAAATATAAGGTTTAAGCAAATCTTTCACAGCGGGTTTTATTTTTCAATGCTTTAAAAGGAACTGCATTGTCCCACCCCTGGCCTCAAGTTACCCCCTTTCCAGATGAAGTGTTAATTCCCTCTACCCAATGAAGACTTAAGGTCTAACAAACAAGGCATGCTTGAATAAAAAAACAGAAACTCATTAGGTAAACTAGTTCGTGTTGCCTTAAATGCAAGTATGACTATTTGCAACCAGGATATTCAGAACACTTCAGGACTCTTTCCACCCTGTCTACTCATTTGCCAGTTTGGGTTCTTTATGTTTTTAAAGGCAGAGTGATAAAAATAGAGCCTTCCACATTTCCCGATGAATGCCACTTTGCACTGGAGGATAATACCACCTCATCACCAACAAAAATAGCATATTTTCTGAATGCTTTCAACAAAGTGCAAATTCAAGTGTAAATGAAATTCAGCATCGATTCATGGAAAGTGATATGAATTGCAAAACAGAATAACCAAGCTCTCTATTCTCAGCTCTGCCCAGGACTGAAAACCGCAAGCAACAGTGGAACTTCTCTGTGCATCAGCCTCTCCATCTGAAAAGAGGCTGGACACAGACTCCTCCCTGATCATGGTTTTGGAAAGGACAAATGAGATAAGCTATGTGAAAGCCCTTGAAGATGTCTGAAGAAAATAAAACCCAATATGTTAACAGATACTATCAAACCAGTTATGAAGGAAAAGACATCAAGCACTTAACATAAAAACAAACATAAAACTTAAACATAAAAAATGAAAGTGAAGTTACCTTTTGTTCTTAAAATTAAAAGACTGCTCAGGCATACACTGGTGTCACATGTTCATACCACGTTACTCAATACTGCTTAATTATAGTAATAAGAGCCTGCCCGTCAATATTACAGCTTAATGCCGAACCACCCCTTCTTGGTTTCCATGCAGGAAACCATGTAAGGTTTGATCATTCCCAGAAGAGAAAAGGAAGAAATATGAGAGGGGTAAGAAGATCACTCTGAGCAATCCCAAGAAGTCACACATAAAAATATCTTGTCCAAGACGCACTCTGCACATTGGGTGTTTCTCTGTTCTATCAACATCCTTCCCACTAGTAAAATTGGAACTGAAATAGCTAGACTACTAAAACCTTAAAGGTCGTACAAAGTCCAAAAGATAAAAAACACAGGTTAATACTGTGCTTCATCAATGACTTAGAATCCCCACGGAGTCCAAAACACAAGCTCATGAATGTTTTGAAGGCAATAACTTATCTCAAGCGACTTAAATTCCTGAATTTTTTAACCTAAAGTTACTCTCTTTAAGGTAAAATTTAAGATGGCTGATTTTAAAAGGAAATTAAATATTCATGTACTTACCATACTTAAGACAAATAACTTCAGATAAAGATATTTACATTTTTTTATATTTTAAATCACAAAAAGACAATGTAGCTTGATAGCATGCAGCTACAAGGCTGTTAAGGAAACTTTATGTTAAGGAAACTTTAGTTTGAACTAAAGTTTCCTTAACAGCCTTGTAGTTAGTACTTGTTTGTCCAACACCTACCTCCTAGCTCCTTAAAGACTTTCATTTTACTTTATCCAAATAAATGTTTAAATATTCAAAGCAACCACAAATGGCTTTCAAAGCCTTTTAAACATAACTTGAGTCAGGTAATAAATACTATAATGTAATTGAAAGGTCACCCTCAAGAGGATGAAAAAGTTCTCTGCTGAACAAGAACTTCTCAAAAAATACAGTTGAATAAGTAAACCAGATAGACAGCAGATAACAAGCTCAATTTAAATATAGGAAGATATCCAAAAGGCTTCAAAGGTAACTTCCTAGTCAATCCTTAATTCCAAGTACAAATGTAAACAAAAAGACCACTAAATTCAAGAGTAAGTTACAGGTGAAATTATAAAAGCAAATGAGGTACACGACACCCTCCACGACACCCTCTTTTAAGGGAGTTATCTGAAACAAACACGAATTCTCTTCTTCCTAAGGGAAAGAATTACTACCAAAGTGTAACACTCTTCCAGTTGGGTGTCCTACATTCCACTGCAACACAAGAGTAATTTCCAGGAATCGCCTCCAGCCTGGCGCAAACTTTTGCTAATCTGAAGTTCCGACAATGTTCCCATACATAGTAAGTGAAACCACCTTACAACAAGGCCCTTTTGTTTGTCAATAACTAAACTCTCTTCCAAAAGTTCAAGTGGACTCATTTTAAACTTTGTTCTATTGCAAATGATTATCAACACTGAGATGTCTGGTATATTAACACAGGCTTAAAATAAGCTCAACTTTGTGTAAGAAAAATAAGCAATTAGACATCTTTGTCACAATCAGGCATCTTCCATTTAGGACACCTGCACACCGGCCTCATATTCTAGAACAGGTTGGATATGGTATATGACTTTCTATGAGTTATTTTGATGAGTGTATACACAGGGGTGTACATAGATACCTTTGGTGTGTCTACAAAAATAAAGTAAGTTCAGAATGAAGTGACAAGTACTGCTTTTCATGAACAAAAAGGTAGACCACAAAAATAAATTAGAAGTATAATCTGTCACCTTAATAGGGATGTTTAAAGAAAACAAAACCTGTGTATCACTCACTTCGAATATTTTAGACATACTTGAAGAGACAATAAAGGAGGAAATAAAAGATTTAAATGCCATGGCCATGACACTCAAAACCTTCCCATGAACACTTAGATCATGATCAATATGTCCAATGATGAAGAAAACATGGGAAGCAAAGCTCTTTCCATACAAAATATGTTCAAAACTGTCTAATATATTTCTTTTGTGTGTGTGCGTATTTCCTGCAACGTAATTAGTTATATTGGTGTTTATCATTTTCATGTTAACGAAATATTCCCATGCCAAGTGTGGTTGCCATTTAATTTTTGTAGTTTGCAAATTAGATGAGCTACAGGAAAAAAAGGATGAAATTGTTGTTCCTACACATAAAATAAAATCACCTATTTTCTAGGCCATAAACTTTTAAAGTCATGTCATCCAGTTGGGATATTATCTTCAGAAACTGCAAATACTATTGTGTTATGATTTTCTTTTAAGACAAAAATCCATCCGAAATCCACTTGAATTAAAGAAAAACTTCAAACAAATTCAGACACAATCTCAACAGAAATGCTACTGGTCTTGCGTATTTCAATGAGGGAGTAAACATTTCTTCATTCAAACTTACTGAACTGCCTGCCACAAGTTGGACCAAAAGCATATCAAATACTATGAATCGCTACAGATTAGTTACAAGTATGATTATTCCCCCACCTCTGCAATCTAAAATAATAATGTTGGGGAAGATTTAACTGCCCTGATTTAATTTTGTTATGCTAACTTTATAAAATTCCATATCACTAAGAATATAATTCTTTAAACCAGGAGAATAGAATGCAAACAACTTATAAAGCTCACATTTAACAACCAGGATCTACAACTCCCTAATGTATTCTTCAACCAAAAGAGAAACACAACAGTCACCCCTACTTAAGAATTTTATATGCCAGTTATATGAAAATGCTGGAATAAATAAAGAACAGAAAAGTTTCAAATACAGAACTGAAAAAGAATGAGGTGAATTTCAGAGAACATCTCAGGAGACCTTAACCACTTCAAATTCTTACAGTGAATTCTTACTGCCAGTCACACTGCAGTGGTCAGCTCTGGCCATAAAGGCTGTAAGCAAGAAATGAGAGAAATAGACAAAATCACTTTGTCGCAAGAATCAAACTGGTAGAGAAAACTGAGATGAAGAAAAAAGCAGTGGGAAAAAGTATCACTAACATGACTCCATCTTGTAGGTTTCTAACGAGGACTGAGAGGGCAAAGCGCTTTGGCAGAGCGCTCAACGAGCGCAGGTGGGAAGGAAGGACCTCACGGGGGTCCGCGCTGCCTGGAATGGCGAACTGGGAGCAGTCAAACGCGCGGAGTGTGCCCTTCGGCATGTCTGTTGGCTACTTTCCTCTACCAATATTCAGTGAGCCTGAGTTTATCTGAAATCCCAAACTGCCCCCAAACCCTACACGCCCCGGAAGAGAGGCCTGGATGCAGCAGGTTCACCGTTGAGTGGACTACCACCTCTTCCAGGAGTCTCTGCTTCCTGTACTCCTGGTGGCTCGGCCGCCTCCTGCTCATGGCTTCCCAATCTCTGGGCCCCCAAGCATGGCCCAGCCTGCAGACTGAACAATTAATTGCCCGACTGAGTGTTATGCAGATTACCCGTGAGAGCTGTAAAGAAGTAACAAAGACTGCCGAGGACATGCGTGTACTTGAGGGCCAACAGACCCCGACTTGACTCCTTTCTCGAGACCTGTTCGCGTTGACACCCCAAGTGCAGGTGGTTTCCTTACCTGCATAGAAGCGAATGAGGCAGCCAATCTCCGAGTCCATGCCTTCCTCCTGCACCCTCCACAACTCCCCAAATCCCAGTTGAAAGAGGTAGTCATTTTGGATCTGCAAGGGCTTCTCGTCCGCCTCCAGGCGCCGAGTAGTCTCTCCATGGAGCTGCACGTAAAGGGTGGGTGGAGAAGGCGCTTTCTCCGCGGTCCCACCCGGGATCGGCTGGGGACGGCCAGGGACCACGGCTGCCGCTGCCTTTTCCTCCCTAGGCGGATCGTCGGTGGCCCCGTCCGGGCAGTGGACGACCGTCGGGGCTTTTGGCTGCAGCGGAGGCGGGGAGGCCGTAGGGGAAAGCGGTCGAGCACCGACTCTGGGACGGATGTGCGCGGAGCGGTCCGGCGGGCAGGGCTGGCTCGGAGCTCCCGCTGGGGTTGGGACAGGGTCGGCCTCGAGCTCCTCGGACGACGACGAGGAGCCGCCGCCGCTGCTGTAGGGGTCCAGCCGGTCGGACACGCTCTCCGCACTGGGGCTCAGGCTGAAGCTCTCAGTGTCCGAGGCCCGGCCCGAGGCCGCGCAGTCAAGCGGGGTGCCGGGGTCGCCGGGGCTGGAATCCGAGAGCACGGGGCTGACGCGGGAGGCGCCGGACGCCCACCCGCCTAGAGCGCCGGGCAGCGGCAGGTCCGCGGGAGGCGCGCGCGGCGAGGCCCCGACGGCAGCCAACCCGCTCTTCCCCAGGGGTGGCTCAGCGGGCGCGAGCCGGGGGCCGGCGTCCGGGGGCCCCTTGCCCAGCACCTTCACCACGCCCCCGCCTTTGTGGCCCACCTGCAGCAGGCGGGCGGCCACCTCGCCGGCCGTGGTGTCCAGCGTGCACAGCACCGGGCGCAGGTAGGTCGAGGCCAGGTGGCGGTCGAAGACGTGCACGCAGCCCCGCTGCAGCTGGTGCCTCACCCAGTCCCGGTCCGAGGGCTGCAGCTGCAGCATCTGTCGGTGCTTCAGGAGCAGCGTCTTCCTGTCCAGGCTCCGGGTGCACAGCGACGCCGAGGCAGAGCTGGAGGCGGAGAGGCCGGCGGCGCCGGGGGAGTGCGAGGCGGCAGCGGCCGAAGAGGAGGACGAGGAGGACGAGGACGACGAGGCGGCGGCGGCCGCCGACAGATTCCTTTTCAGCCGCCCTCTCCTTAGCAGGAGGGAGTTGGCGCCGCTGCCGGCCCCAGACACCGGAGCAGCCCCGCCGGCGGTGGACTGGGGCGCGCCGCGCCGCCTCCTGCGTCCCGCGCCCGCCGCTCTGCCCGGCGGCGGCCCCGGCTGCGCCTGGCCGGGGGCCTCTTCCCGCGCCCCGCCGCTTGGGGCCGCGGGGATCAGCGCTGGCTCGGGGCTCCGGCCGCCCCCGGCCGCCGCCGCCGCCGGAGCTCGGTCCTCCCTGCTGGTCTCTGGGAGCCGCTGCGCCGTGGCCGCGGCGGCGGGCTCCATTGCAGTGGGGCTCCGCGCTCCCCCCCCAGCTCCGGAGGCAGCGGGCGGAGAGGCAGCGGAGAGGCGGAGGTGGGAGACGGCGGCGCGGGCAGAAGGGAGAAGCCAATGGCGTTCGGCGCGGCCGTTCCAGGGGATTATGTGGCAATTCGGAGCATTCCGACGGTGTCTCGGTGTTCCATCCCGCGCGCTCGCCCGACTCGCCGCCGCCGCCCCCCCGACACACACGCCCTCCCCACCCGGGTCGAGGCTGCCGCTCGCAGGCCCCGCCCGCTCCCCACCTCACGCCCGCGACCCAGCCGCGAAGCTCGGCTCATTGAATATTAATCACGCACAGGGAGCGGGAGGCGGGCAGGGCGGGCGCTCCGCGTGAGCCTCATGAATATGCATCACTAGCAGGACGGCAATCCTGGGAGGAGTGGGGAGAGCCAGAGGCCGGAGGAGAGGCGGGGCTTCAGAGTAAACAAACCGTGACGCGTGCGTAAGGGAGAGGGGCGGGGGCAGTTTCGCGGGAGGCTCTGGCTCGGATCTCAGACCAGGGTTGGCCGGGAAGATCGGTGCGCATTGCACCCTGGGAGTTGTAGTGCCATTGGGGGGACGGACGTGCTCGGGGGAAACGGACGAACTACAAACCCCAGAGATCCTACCATTATGCCCCTCCTTGCAGCCCGCGGTTGGCCATTGACAGTGGCTGTTGTGCCCTCTGCCGTCGAACTCTGTGTGCCCGGAGTGTTCTTGTTCATTAACATGTGCACAGCCCTCCTACTCCCGCTCCGTAGAAGACTTGTTTTCCCTATTAATTGAAAGAAAGGGCTTTGAGGGACTCTAAACGGTACAGAGGTCCCCGATGCTAGGTCCCATTGTATGAAATACAAATCTACAAACTAAGCAAGCTGACTTTTCCCCACTTTTTCAGGGCCTGGGGAGACAGTGCCTGGATATTCTAACTTGGACTGTTGTTAAATGTGCCTGGTGGAAATCATGCAACCCCGAGAGGATCCTCTCCCAGTGTACACCTGAGAAGGAAAAGGGCCTAGGGCAAGGGTCTCATTTGTTTTCCCATTGATCTGATTTGTTTCCCATGATCCGTTTGAGGTCAATGGCACGGAAAGCAGTGGAAGGAAGAAGCAACGATGGAATGGAGACCTTGATGGGTATGAGATGGACTGGTTCTGTGTGTTTACTCTTACATCTTTCCTTGACTTTTCTTTCAACATTCAGAAAAAAATTCTGATAGCTTACTATGTATAGAATTTTGAAAAACCTATTTCATTGAATTGCCACTCTCCCAGATTGCCTTGTAAATCTTGATTTTTCACGTGTGAGACTTGTTCTACTGTATACTATTCAGGGTCTGAACTTAAGTGAAGTTACTAGAGTAGGGGAGAGGGGAAGGTTACAGAGAGAGATATTAATTGAAACTTGTAGCTGAAAAGACAGAATATGGGCAAGGAAAGTTGTACTTAGGTCATCTGCAGTCTCATTGAAGAGGAATGAAGAAACCTACCAGAACAAAAATAATATTTCTCTTGATTCTTGACATTCCTGAAAATGACATTCTGTATTTTTCATTTGAAGTCTTATTTCCTGGCCTCATGAAACTAACTTTATTCCATTTCAATTTGATTAACATCACAGTGTCTCATTTTTAAAATTCAAGAGAATGCATATTCTCCCAAAGAGAAAAGATAGTCAAGTAAATTAATTTAACACGGACTTATAAACAGTTATATCCCAGCAGTCACTGTGTTTCAGCGTTTGAATAAATCAGACACAGTTCTTGCCTTCACAGAGCTTACAGATTAGAAAGATATTCAACAAATGAGAAGGATACACAGGAGGGGAAAAAGACAAAGTGCCACAGAAAAAGACAAAAATAAAACAAGGAGAAGTGACTTAGTCCAGGAAATCAGACAATTGAGACCTACATTTGGATAAACTTTTCTGGAATAACTAAAACTGAGTACTTGCTGAAAAGTGAATCTTTGAAAGAAAGAAAAGAGGCAAAGAAAACGTAATGATATTGAGGTTAAATTTTAACTAGACTAATCTATATGTTGCCTTGAGCAGCCCTTAACAGGAACCATTAGTTCTAAAAATAAAAAGAATTGTATTTTAATGTAGCCTTCCTTTAATAAGATTAAAAAACAAAGAGCATGTTAAATTTCAGTACTAAGACTATTTCTACTTTTTAGTTCCTTAGATGGTTGCCTACAAACCTCTAACTTTTGCTTTATTAGGAAATGTATATTAATTCCCACATATCTCCTTTCTAGAGTTATGTTTCTTTAGCTAATGTAACAAACTCAAGGAAGGTTTGTTTTAATCATAAATACTGTCAACATTGGCCCAGTGTCTATGGCCATCTTCTCTAAGAAGTTATCAACACCATGGCAAGTCCTCAAAAAATTAAAAATGGAACTGCCTTATCCATCAATTCCATTTCTGAGTATATACCCAAGAAACACAAAACACTAATTCCAAGGAATACATGCACCCCAATGTTCATTGCAGAGTTGTTTACAATAGCCAAGATAAGGAAGCCAAGCAAGTGCCCATCAACAGATTAGTGGATTAAAAAAGTTGTGGTACATACATACAATGGAATATTCCTTGGCCATAAAAAAAAAAAAATGAAACCTCACCATTTGCAATGGAATGAATGGACCTAGAGGGTACTATGCCAAGTGAAATAAGTCAGTCAGAGAAAGACAAATACCACATCATTTCACTTATATGTGGAATCTAAAGGAAAAAATAAATGAGCACACAAAATTGAAACAGACTCATAGATACAGAGAGGAAGTGGTTGGGGGACTGGGTGAAAGAGGAGAAGAGATTAGGAAGTACAGATTGGTAGTTACAAAACAGTCACAGATATAAAGTACAGCATAGGGAATGCAATCAGTACTACTGTAGAAATTATGTTGGTGCCAGGTGGGTACTAGAAATATCGAGGGGAACACTTTGTAAAACATACGGTTGTCTAACCACAAAAAGAAATTATAGGACTGAACTTAATCTCTCTCTGGTTCTTGTCATTTAGCTTTACACAGCCGCCTAGGCATTTTATTCTCTAGAAATTTTGTTTCTTCTTTAAGGTATTTATAACCAAAACACCTCCTCTAAGAGGAAAAAAAATTAAAGAAAATGCATTGCTCTGAGAATTTAGTATCCAAAGTATTGGGGTGTGGGGAGAATTCCTCATACACACCTGTGAGACTTGGTATGAAGGATTATTAAATTGGGAGAAGAAAGGAAATAATGAGTAATGTTAAAGTGTCTCAACATGAAAAAGGAAATGCATTCCAGCCTCAAAAAAAGTGTGCTGGGGGCGTTGGGCAGGGGAAAGAATGGAGAATATAATCTTGACAAAAAGAAACTCCTGCATGCATAGTGTTCATAATCTGAAAGACGCCATACTACTCCCTTGTGCTCAGAATAATGAAAATCAGAGTGGAGGGGAAAGAAGAGCAAGGGTCCACAGTGCGATTTACTCCTTATTCCACCTCCAAACCATCCATAAAGTTACTCAACTTGGGGGTGAAAGGAGAGAGAGAAAGAAAATTCGAGTTCATCAAGAATAGCTTGGGCCCTTGGCACCAGATCAGCTGGAACCTCGGAGTCGATGGGGCCATGAAACTGTACTTGGAGCTTACTAGTATTGTCAAATGTCATTCACACCACCTGAGTCAGCACACTGTACAATCTCTCTTAATAAGAAAAGGATTTCAGTACAGGACGGACGTTTTTCGGAAACCCATGAAATAACTTCTCCTACTTGAAAAGAGAGTGGAGAACAGGCCACTATTCCAAAACCAAGGGACTCCTGATGACACCGCCCCAACCTTTAAAGCGTTTGAAGCGTACAATCTGATACCGCATTTCCTACTAGCTACACTTCTCAAAGAATCACATCTTAAAGTGTTCAAAGATAATCCCGAAAAGAAATAACAGATGTAAAAGTTGCCAACCCAACTTGTTAAGATATTTTCACAGTTAAGTGTAGAAAAAGAACGTAATTTTCAATGTACTGCCACAGTTTATTTTATGCTGTGTGATTTGTTACTGGCATGCTGTTCTGCATCTGGGTTAATCCTGTCTGCATCCTTAGATCCAAGATAAAAGAAACTATCTTTGGAATTTTTTTCTGATATAAGCAGTTGGAATTTTAATGGGTCATGAATTGATAGCTGGGATGCTTTCAGTGTGAATTGTTAAGGGCTCAGCTGTGCCCAGGAATAAACTCAGAAAGATGCAACATACAATGTAATACAGTTAGTTAGTACATTATGGACAAAGAATCTAATTATAGTTTCACATTTTTATATCCCTTGAGCTACCAGTGGTTTACCATGACTAAATTGCTCACTATTTACTCATTCTTTTTTACTAGGAGGGAACCATTTAGCAAATTACTGCTCCGGTGCACTAAATGAGCCCCAGGTGGCCAAACTGGATTCAGATGTTTTCTGCTCACTGGCAGGATGAGACCTCCTGAGCTCCCTAAAGCCTTGGTCCTCCCCCGCAAGAACCCTTCAGGAGCTCAGATCGCCACTAACGAACGCCTTAGGTCGTCCATTTTATACATACAGTTGGGCCGTTTTTCAGGTTCTAGTGTATACCCTTTTTAATCCCATCATCCTTTGGTTTTGTATTGTTTCTCACACCCCATCCTACCTTGTAGAAATAAACATGTAACACGTTGTCACAACAATGAAGTGTTAGGCCAACAACACAGGAAGATGATGTGACCCAGCACTTCCGGTAACAATGTAAATTGCCTGAATGTTCATTCAACAAGTTTGTGTTAAACTTTTCTGTGCAGGTGCCACTTACCCCCAGGAAACAGAATGGACAAAAAGGCCTGTCCTGAGGAAGCTGATATGTAGGCACTGTCATGTTCTTTCTTCTTCTTTTTTTTTTTTTTTTTTAGATTTTTATTTGTTTCTCTTTAGAGGGGAAGAAAAGGAGAGAAGGAGAGAAACATCAATGTATGGTTGACTCTCGTGCATCCCCTGCTGGGAACTGGCCTGCAACCCAGACATGTGCCCTGACTGGGAATCGAACCTCGATCTTTTGGTTAGGTGGTCCGTGCTCAATTCACTGAGCTATACCAGCCAGGGCTATCATTTTCTTTTTAATCTTATGTTAAAATTGACCTACTCTCTTTTTTTGTATAGACAGTTCTTATTTTAGGCAAATGGAAAATATGATCATCTAGATATGTAAATTATATATTAGGATA